GCTGGCCGTATGAGGACGCTCAAAATCGTTCAGCGAGCTATGGAGAGGGCTATACTCGGAGTTTCTCTGCGTGATAAACTTAGAAATGAGAATATCCTCAGTAGAACCAGAGTGACCGACATAGCTCAACGGATTAGTAAGCTGAAGTGGCAATGGGCCGACCATGTAGCTCGTAGAACCATCAACCGTTGGGGAAAAAAGGTTCTCGAGTGGCAGTCTTGTACCTGTAGGCGAAGTGTAGGGCGACCCCCCACTAGATGGAGTGACGACCTGGTAAGACATGCAGGTAGTCGATGGATGCAGGTGGCTCAGGAGTCCTGAGTCAGGACCGTGCTTTGTGGCATAACTTGGGGGAGGCCTATGTTCAGCAGTGGACTTGTGAAGGGCTGTAATGATGATGATGATGATGATACCACATATATATTTTGTATAAAGTTATCATTCGTCTCCGCTAGGGTTGATAACGTTTTGTGATGTTTTGCAACTAAATTGGATAACAGAAAAACACGATTTAGAACAAATCGCGAAATATAAAAAAACAACAGTGCGAACGCTAACGTTGACAAATCTATAGATAAACAAGTAGAATGTTTATGTTGTATTCAATGCGAACACAGCTAAAAACAAATCTTGATATCTGTTGAAAATTTTACACAGTTTTTGTGAGTGCGAACGCCACCATCAACAAAACATGTTGTGTGATTTATTTCATGCGATTTGTTTCAAAACATTACGTGTTGGATGTTTCTCAGTGCAAACGTACTGTTAAGATCACTTACTAAGCATAAAATCACAAAATGCTGACAGATCCAGGTGGCGCTTCAAGAGCCATCTTGAAAAAACGTTTTTAACCGATATCTCGGAAAACTATACACTTTAAGGCAAAAATTATACAAACCATTATTGTAGAGATTAAAATATCGCATCTTTTGTTTCCAGTAAAATTTTTTGTAAAACTTACCGTTTACGATTTATGGCCTATTTAATGAACCGGTTTTTCTATCGCGGCCAATAACTCTTGAAATATTAGATAAATCAATAAAATGCATTAATCCATTTTTAAAGATCAGTTTATTCTCTACAACTTTTGTTTCTAACGTTGTATACTTACTTACTTTTTAAGTTCTAGGACGTTAATGTTGGACTACCGGGCGTAAAGAAGACTACCGGCATCACCCGCCGATCGTCGTCGCTAGGCTCGTCGACGCTGGGCTCGGATCTCAACACGAAAATCCGTTGGGCTGTCCTTGATGTCTCTCTTATCGTGTCGGATTGCCATGAGTGGGAGAGAAAAGAGTGTAACACTCGTGGACTATAAACTTATCCTGCAAAGATGGCTTTTTGCGATGTCCGAATTCTGGATCTAGTATAAAGAATTCGAACTGAAGGACTGGTGTTTAGACTGAACTGAAGGAATGGTGTTTTTTAGACTTCTCATCAGTAGCAGCATTATTAATTAAAATAAAAAACTATATAGAAATTAAATTTAACATTTATTCGAAAAATTTAAACAATTTGTTTTACATTGGTTTAAACAAATCACAATCTTACTTATATAAGATTTATGACCATGTTACATTAGGTAAACAATACAGACAGAGTAAACAACATTTAAAGATGACTTTGATTTGTTATATTTTTATTTATATAATGATAATAATAATTTGCAAACAATTTAATAATCTTCAGGTAATAGTAAATTAGGTAATCATTCCAAACCAGTGAAATTATTTCATTCCATCCGTCCATTACAACCAATTAAAGTCTACTGTTGAAAATAAGCCTCCCCTTTAGATTAAATGATAGGAGAAATTTATTATAGTCGCCTCGCTCCGTTAGTGACGGGTTATTCTGGTTATCCACCCTAGGATGTATACTAGGGAACGCGTGTCCTTCTATCCACCCCAGACGGGTGGATAATCGGAACTCACTTTTATTTGTTCTTCCGACGTTTCACCCCAAGTGCTGTTCAACACATGCACTTTAATTATTAATAAAATGAAATGTACGTATTACATTTAAATCAATTGAAACGTCCGCGTTTTAAATAATATTATTGCGTAATTTATAAATTCTGCAATATGGCCAGGCTATTAAAAACTACACTACACTTTTAATGTAGATTTGCAATCGTTTTTTAAATTTCTTTGCCTAACAGATGTGTTAGCGAAGAATTGGGCGTTCTTTTACAAACATTTTAAAAACGTTACTATCGGAAATCAGTCTTTAATTTTATTTTAAATGATTTTATTACAAGGTTTGCAATGAATCTGTAATCGTTTCAGGGACTCCTTTTATTTCAACGTTGACCTTTCAAACAAGAAGTGTGTATAGATTTTTATAAATAATGTCTACTGGGTATCTTGAGCCAAGTTTTATAATGTTTCTATAAATGACTGTACACAGCCGAGAGGGAAAATCGGAAGAAAATAATATATACGAATTCCGATCATCCGTTTCCGAGTTCCGAGTATCCACCCTAGGGTGGATTATTTAGGGCGGATAAACGTAATAACCCGGCGACTGCAGTTTTTATTATTTTAAATTGTTTTAGGAAGGTGTATCTGCCCAACTCATGTTTTAGTTTCCCTCTGTCGTATTGCGATACGGATGGGATAATATACTGCAGTGGATATTCTTTCACCGATCTGTTAGTAACCTGGTGTTCCAATCGGCTCTAAGCAATCTAAATAATAAGCTTTATTTTTTAGCGGCATAAGCTAACGAGTATTTCACCCTATGAAGAGATTTAAGTTTTGGTTGACAGAACTTTCCTTGGTCAGCCTTGGAAAAATATCAGAATGCACGGGTTTTCTAATGAATTAGTTCATCGCTGATTCTGACTATGTGCTCTGACTTTGCTTTGGCAATAACTCTGAAGGACCTGAAAGCAGAACTACACTTATTTTTAAAGGCACTGTGTTTGTATCCCGGGACGCTGATGTGTCAGCCCAGGCTTGGTAACAGACAAGCTTGCTAACGTTGCAATAAAATTTTACTGGAGCGGCCAAACCGAAGCTGGATCAGCTCAGATGTTAGTATAAAGAATTTCATTGCCTTAAGTACTTCACCAGCAACAGAGTCAGCAACCATGATAATCATCCAGCAAAATGTAAAAAAAAGCAAACCAGCCCCAAAAAAAGAAGAGATCTTAAGCCAGAACATGGTGAACATTTTTAAATAAAAGTATTTTTATTGTGTTTATGATTCTATAGGTGAGATGAATATATATACATATATATAAAAAAAAAATGTATATGATAAGAATGTTCACTAACCAATACCAACAACGAAACAAGCCATGAGATGGGCATTATTCTTTCTAATAACAACTACTAAATAAAAAAACTGATTGCCAACCCGTCTGCCAATGGTGGCAACTATGCCAAATAACCCCTTTATGAAGTAATCTACAGAAGGCCTATGTACAGCAGTGGATAGGCTATAATGAATAATGAAAATCAATGAAATAAATACTTAGCATTGTTTCCACACAATCAGTTGAAATTCGATAATTACAATATCACAACTTGTTAAGGCTGTCTGCGCTAACTAAAGTAACTTAAGAACTACAGACCCCCGCTTGTCAGGGGTATCCATGGCTATGTCGTCATGGCACCCGGTGAGATTTCTTAAAAGGGAACATCATAGAGAAATAGCATGTATTTTCAATACATGAAACGTTAAACATCAAGCATTAGAGGAGAAAGGGCCGGCATGATAAAAATATCCCCATCTAATTATACTCGTGTAAAATGTTGTCAAATTCTTTTACTTTAGTTATATTTCCTATGAAACCAATAAATACATTTTTTATTTAAAAAATTGTTAGTCATTTCCAAATTTGATTCAGTTAACAGACAAATTTCTTTTTAAATGTACAATTATGTCCTCCAGACCGAATTTCGGTCACGGCGGCCTGCCTCAACTGAGACCAGCCATCGGCGCAGGACAGGGCTTTGGTGCCCGAGTGTATGCGCGCAAGCACAGGTGCACTCTATTCCCTCCCTTTCATAATTCGGTATGGATGGGACGGTAAACCGACACGACCAGAAAGAGATCAGGCGCAGAACCAACGGCTTTACGTGCTTTCCGAGGCACGGGGGTGTGACACTACCAACTTCCTGACACAGGACAGCTACTGAGAATTTCTCGACGGAAAAACTCAATAATTGATTTTTTGGCCCGACCCGGGATTCCAACCCAGGACCTCATGATCAGCAGTCGCACTACTACAAACACTAGACCAACGAGGCAGTCAAGTACAAATATACTAGAACAATGAATATAATAATTTCGTATCTAGTTTCTCAACGTATTTCCGTTAATATAGATATTAGTATTCCTTACCTGAAACTCTACCTTTTTGATTAGACTGCAATGTAACTATTTATTATGCTATATGAGGTGGCTAGAATTAATATTAAGCTGTACACAGTTATCGAAAACGTGGCTATAATTACCTTTGATCAAAGGGTATTTTAAGATTGTGATAGACAATAACTTCTTTTTTAAAGAATAACGGTGACAAACAAGCACACAGTCCTGATGGTAAGTGGAAGACGTTGCCCATAGACATCTACACCCAACCTTGATTAAGGAACAAAATTTAGGTGTGTTGTCACCTTAAGGACTAAAATGGAATGCCGTAACTAATTAAGTAGCATTTTTATTAAATATATATATATATATATATATATATATATATATATATATATATATATATATATATATTATAGTTATTTTTATAATGAACCTGTTAACTAGACAGAGAAGTCAGCAAATTCATAAAAATTTACATATGTATGACGAGTACATATAATTAAAACATTTTCCTTTATTCTTATTCTTCTACTTATATTATCTTATGCATTTTAAACACAGAAACAGGAAGCAAATCATTAATAGATTCGAGTTTTATATGGAATCATAATTTTTACTTATACTATCATTCAAATTTAATAAACAAAACAGATATTTTAATTCTTAACACCATTTACATGTTTTCCATTTTCAATAACTGTTTTCTCTTCTATTAAACTAAGAGATGATACGGAGAGTTCTTCCTCATCTGAAACAATAAAATACAAATGTCATTTTAATATGGAGAGTGTTTGAGGTAAGCTACATTGGACTTACGTCTACATATAAAAGTCCTCGGCATGACAATACAGCGATACGATGTGGCGTTGGGGCGGTAACAACACCAACTTATCGCTGCTCATGCAAGATCTACTACTCTTTCATCTACATAACAATTGTATGTAGGTAACAAATCGCGCTGATGACATCATCGATTTCTACACGGTCAATACGTGAGACATAAACTAATGTACCTATTTGTAACATCTACAGTCGATGCGGTCGCATGAATGCAAGTGGCCCGCCACTCTCCTCTGCGTAGCACACCTCCCATCATGTTCTCCTATTGGTACCAAACTTAAATAGAGAGACTATTTGCATGTCGTCATTGTCAGGTGCATAAATATTTCCAACAAGTTTCACATTAGATAAATTTTTATTGAGTATTTTAAAAATAATATATTTCGGAGGATGTTATATTAAAAATCTATAAATCTAAATTGCTATAGCAACCAAAGCCAATAGTGTATCTTTTGTTGAGATGAGTCAGTGCACATCACCACTTAGCAAAATAGTAAAAAAAAATTATAGATGTAAGAGTTACAAACAAGCATACAGACCTCATAATGGCAAGTGGATGCTGATCAATGATCATAGACGCCTCTACATCTTCCCTTAATTCAGAATTAAAATACATATTTGCTGTGAAAGCTCTGAGCACTAAGATGAAATTCCTCATTACTGGTTCAAAACGGTCTCCAGTTCCTATCACTTACCATACAAAATACAGCATCATTGTGCTGTTACTTCACAGTGGTATTCTTTAAGGGTGTGGCCGTTCCCTGGTCGATCACATCCATTTGTGATGCTGCCATAATACGCTACAAGTTGGTTCAAACATGTGAAGGATCAAATCAATAAGAGTGATAATATAATGTGAGAGCAGTAGTTCAACTTGCACTCTTGTTTACGCAATTAATCATTACTAGCAGCACTATACTCAGCATAAGGCGATTACAATGTAACATGACACATTTTTCATGCGTTAGAGGCTTCGACCGGAGAAGGACCATGCGAATATAGAGAGCCGGAGGACCCTTTTTACTGGAAACGAGGCATTCCATTTTAGTCTAAGGTGTGGAAACGAATCTGCTTTTTGATTCATAATCGAGGAGAGATGTCACAGCATCCACTTACCATCAGGTTGACTGTGTGCTCCATTGCCACTTTTATTCTAAAACAAAACATAATTATAATTACAAATAAATTACATCATAATGTATTAAGTTTGCAAACAAACAATAACACTGCTTATCACAATGTATACTGGGCAGCTTCCCCGTAGAAAACTTTTCTTTTCCTAGTGCATTAATTACAGTGGACAAAATCACTATAATCAAGATTACCAGATTATGAGACAAGTAACTTATTACGGTAATATTATATTATATTTATGAACAAAAACTTGTGTCATGTAAAAATATGATACTAACCAGAACTAACATCTGATTGGTTTCTGGGACTAAGACGGCATCCTTTAGACATGTAGCTCTTCAATTTTCCGAGAGATGCGAGTATTAACCTGCAATAAAAGAAACGAAGTTATGCGCAATTTATACAATAATACCAAATTAAGCGTGATTAAAATATTTTTCTAGTAATAATCTAATTATATTTCGTCTTTCCTTTAGTCATTATCAAAATTAATAGCAGCCTATTAGAAATCTCAAATAATACTTATAAACAGTGCACTGTTTTGTATAGATCCTTTTTACTTCTTAACTCACCCTAGGAATAGAGGACTTGGTGACAACGGCCTTGAGAGGTACTCCGGATGGAACTGAACAGTTACATAGTAGGGGTGTTCTTCAATTACGGCGACTTCCATTCGCGTTTTGCTCTCGTCTTTGCCAACAAAATGCAGACCTGCCGCTTCCAGCTGCTCAATGTATTGCGGGTTTACTTCATAGCGATGCCTATGACGTTCCTCTATTACATCTTTTTTATATAATTGAGCTGTAAAATAAATGTTCAATGTAAATAAACGAACATAAGGCCGATTAATATTCTAAGCCAAAAATTCATCTGTAGTCTGTAAGCCCTCTTTGTTGGTAGTTATTTATATGTATAATAAATAATAAAGATCCAGATCGATTTCGATCAAGGCGTCCAGTCTCAACGAAGAGTAGCCATCAACGCATGACAAGATTATAGTGTGTGTAACATTTCCACGCCATAATTTATTACAATTTTCGTCGCGGCTTATCTCAAGATAAATGTCTCAGCGAACTTGTTTCGATTTATAATGCTGAAGCACCGAGTCAAACGATAACGGCACAGGTACATTACTCACTCTAATAGTGGAGAGCGGTCAGGCGCAGGAACAAGGGTTTCAGGTGCTTTCCGAGGTGAAACATTGCCAACATCCTGACTCTACTGAGAATTTCTTGGCAGAAAACTGACTGATTTTGACCCAGCTCGGGGTCAGCAATTGTGCTTACGACCACTAGATAAACGAGAGTTAAGCGTTAAGTTTTCTATTTGTACGAATTTACCAGCAGATGGACTGTTAGCTTGTTTATCACTCCTACTAATATAAGGAAATAGTGTGGTTAGCTAGAGTTAAAAATTTAATTTACAATTCTTTCAATATTTTTCAATACTTCAAAAAAATGCCATGTCTTACGTAAATAAAATAAATTATAGTAGATATATACTTACATACCAAACCGGGTTCTAAGTAGGTTTTGCGTTTTCCTAATCTCATTGTCCCGCCGAGAATACCGGGATGATACTCAGGCATATCTATGACTAGCTTGTCCTCGCATTGCGGGTTCACCTCGGTACTGTTTGCGCCTTTCAGTCCCAGAACATTCCTTGCGAACTCTATGACTGCGGCCTGCAAGCCCAGGCAGATGCCCAGCATAGGTTTCTGTGTTTCTCGGCACCACTGACATGCTTCGATTTTACCCTCCATTCCTCTTTGGCCGAACCCACCCGGGACTATTACGCCACTACAACGTAAAATAAGTTTATACAATACAATACCCTTTATTGGACCTTTAAGAAAACAACATAACAAGAAACAAACAAAGATAAAAACAAAAGGCGGTCTTATTGCTATGCAGCAATTTCTTCCAGACAACCTAAATAGGAAATAAAAATAAGTGAAGAATTAATTAATGGATAGAGTTTATATCCTCTATTGATAATATTTTTTCATACAGTTTCACTTTGCACACTTTTTAAATGGCCTATACAATATACAAGTTAAAATACCACAACGTTACCAACGTTGTTGTAAACATAGTTTGTGGACGATCCTGTGGAAGAGCTGCTTTTGACCTTTTTTAACTCTCGATAATAATCATTCCTTTAAACAATAAATTTTTTTTCGGACGCTGTTGCAGCTTCTCCCAGTATGAGGACCATATCTAGTAATGCCTGTATTCTTTTCCTACTGACTTCAAAAAGCAGGAGGTACTCAACTATGTATGTTGTTTTTTTAAATGTGTGTTACCTCATAATATTTGATGAGTGAACCGATTTCGATGATTATTTTTTATTTGAAATCTGGTGCTTCTCATGTGGTCCCATATAAATTTGATCGAGGTCTGACTAATAGTTTTTGAGTTATTCTTAATAATTTAAATTGAAGACGGTTGCCGAAAATTTTTAATTTTAAATTATTGTTTGTTCATGTAGTCCGGACTAGAAGTATTTCACAAACACATATGGAATTGATATTTTTCCATAAACTGTGTCATACTTTCGCGATCTAACATTTCACATTTTTTACTTTTGATTTTTGAGCTTTTTTTGTTCAAAATTAAATGTAGATATATCTTTAATGAGATATAAAGCTATTTTTATTAATAGTATAATGATAAAATGTAATAAAATATTATATATCTTTCATTTACGCGCGGGAATGCGCGTTAAAGATCTAAATTGATTGACAACAGAGCGAACGTATGCATTGTTACTACATAAAATTACAAATCTACTTGACAGCCAGTATCCACACGATTATGCATGCTTGATGCACGACATCTTTGACGTACGTCCAGCCTATTCACTATCCATCAGCAGGACACGAAAACTAGTGGGGAGGCTTGCTGGATACATGCCCCACGCGTCCACAAGAAATTAAAAGAGTATCACCATTCGGCGTCGTGCGTTGCATGACCTTGAGCGGACGTACGTCAAGTGCGTACGTAAGACGAACCGTGTATACCGTTTAATTTTTAATAGAGATGGACTCTATGAAACTTTTTTCAGAATATTGAATAACGCTGCATTTTATTAGACTATGTCATGAGGGGCGCCAGGTGGCGGACAACTTGTTTTTTGTTTCGGGTAATATGGTCCCCCGTGACGCTTGAGTGGTTAGCATAACATTCAAATATATAGGTACAAAATTTATTATTATAATTTTATTTAATATAGAATAAGGGTGACAATTCCACCTGATGGTAAATGGATATTGTGGCCCACAGACATCTACATTTATCCCCGATTAAGCAACAACATGCAGATGCGTTGTCATCTCTAAGAACTAAGATGGAATGCCTTATATCCAGTAAAACGAGACTCCAGGTACAAGATAGCCCCAAAACACCATTCAGAAAAATGTTGTGTAGAGCGACGACTCTCCTATCTGCAATAGTTTTTTACATGGAATGATCTACTTGTTAGTTGGTTACTATAAGTTTTATATTTTTATTTATTATAACTACTATGTACTAACTTTTTTTGCAAATTTAATAGAATACTAACATAGATTCCATTCCATTCTTTCACTAACAATTCTATGGATGTAATCATCTGAAATAAACAAGTTGAATTTTAAGTTATATACATTGACTATGCTGTGGTTGGGTAAAAATGTGTATTAGTCATAATGATTTCTTAAATTTACGCGAACACTACACATTGAATAAAACTAAATTTACGGATTCTATCGCGTTTATTTAACTGATTTTACTTATTTTTAATTCCCGACGTTTCGGGTGCTTTACAGCAACCATGGTCACGGGGGGGACTGAGATGTTTGACGTCCCAATGTCATTGTTAGCCCTGCTACCTTCAGTTTTTGAATATTAATTTTTGGTTATTAATAAATGCGTAATCGTAGTTGCGTAAAACGGACCAAAAATTAAAATTCAAAAACTGAAGGTAGCCGGGCTAAAAATGACATTGGGACGTCAAACATCTCAGTCCCCCCCGTGACCATGGTTTCTGTAAAGCACCCGAAACGTCGGGAATTAAAAATAAGTAAAATCAGTTAAATAAACGCGATAGCATCCGTAAATTTAGTTTTATTCAATGTGCATTAGTCCTCATCATTTTGTGATTTTAAAATGAAACATACTAGGAAATGGGTGGCAGGATCATTATAAGAACAACTAAAAATAAAAACACTTAGGTAACCAACCTGCCTGCCATGCATAGCAACTATGGCAATTTTCCCCCTATGAGGCAATCTATAGGGATATGTTCATCAGTGGACTTTAAGCTATAATCATGATGGTGATAAAAGAAGAAATTTCATTAAGAAATAAGTAGTGCTCTTGTACAAACTCTTTATCATGATATGCCCTCTCTGTTATTTGGGTGTATTGTTCATTTATTTACCATTTCAAAGTTGAATACAAAAACAAGTAGAATAGCATCTATAAACTGCAAAGGTTTGTATATAATACCATCATCTACATCGATATTTCCAGGTTTGATAAAGAAAAATAGATTAAGTATATAAATAATAATAACTAGACATAAATCTTTTTTCGGCTTCATAATAAAAGTAAACCTTAATAATTTTACATACTTGTCACATTGTTATTATGTACTGAATAACAAGATTTACGTAATAGAGTGAAACAGATAAAACAAAGTAATTGCTTTCAACACTTACTCGCATTTACAAAGGTCCTGCCAAGCTTTATGATAGCTCACTGGGTCGTCAATCTTCGTCTGCCTCTCCAAAGAAACTGCTTCCACATACGTCAAGTTGAGCTTATAACCGGCAGCGATGCAAGCGTGTTGAAGAGCCTTCGTGACACTTGCATAGCTGTCTTCCAATTTTGTGTACTTTCCAACTAGTGTTATGTTCACTTCTTTGCGCAAATTTTCTACTCTCTTTGCTAAGTTACGCCATTTCTGCATAAATCTATGAACACAAATATAAACATTATTACTAAATCTTTATATCGTAAGTTATTATCAATGTTATGTTAGGCATTAGTCTCATTTTAAATGATTAGGAACATACATAAACATATACATAAACACTCACGCCTGTCACCCAGAGGGGTAGGCAGAGACTACAGACTTCCATTTGGCACGATCCTGACACACCTCTCTCGCCTCCTTCACATCCATACACCTACGCATGCATGCTCGTCGGTTAAGGGTACTCCTAATTTGGCCCGTTTTCAATAAATCGCCAATTTGGTCGATAAATTTTCGCCTAGGACGTCCCTTTCCAACTCTGCCATTCACTTCTGCAACATAAATTTTCTTTGTCACTCTTTCCTCATCCATTCTTTCCATATGACCAAACCACCGAAGCATTCCTTTCTTAATCCTGGTCACAACATCATCTTGCAAACCACACTCTTCTCTTATCACACAATTTTTCACCCTGTCATTCAGATTCAGCCCTAACATACTCCTTAACGACCGCATTTCTACTGCATTTATTCTACTCTCGTGCTTCTTCTGCCATACCCAACTTTCACTACCATACGTTAAAGTAGGGACCAACACAGCATTGTGAATTGCCATACGTGCCTTTTTTGACACATTTTGACTCTTCACAATAGAGTGCAGGGCTCCATTTACTCTGTTTCCTGCGTTCACTCGTCGTTCTATATCCTTATCATATCTCCCATCCCTGCTAAATACGCAACCCAAATATACAAACTCATCTACTTGCTCGATCAACTCCCCTTCTATTCTTATTTCACATATCGTTTTACTTTCATCTCTTTCAAAAACCATAATTTTTGTCTTACTTGCGTTCACTTTCATACCCCTTTCTTTTAATGATCTGTTCATTAATGTAACCATCATTTGCAACTCAGCCGCCGACGACGCAAGAATAACTTGATCATCGGCGTACAAAAGGCATTTGATGGTTAACTCACCCATTCTTAATCCGCATTCTTCAACTTTCAAATTTTGCAAACAACTGTCCATAAATAGGTTGAACAACCACGGGGAAGCCACACAGCCCTGTCTGACACCTTTATGGATGCCAAACCAGTCCGAGTAGACCCCGTTGATCCTAACACAAGCACTAGAGTCCCTATAAAGAGATTCCAATGCCTGTATCAAGCCAGCGCTCAACCCAAATGCGTTCAGTGTTTGCCATAGCACATTCCTATCCACTCTGTCATAGGCCTTCTCCAAGTCCATGAACGCACAAAAAACCTTTTGGTTTTTGGCCAAAAACTTCTCCGCGATCATGCGCATGGAGAAGACTTGATCTGTACATCCCATTCCCTTTCTAAATCCCGCTTGCACATCCCAAATTTTTCCATCGGTTTCTTTCATGACCCTTTCAATTAGTACCTTGGCATACAGTTTTCCCACGATGCTAAGAAGGCTGATACCGCGGTAGTTTTTACAGTCCTGCTGCGACCCTTTTCCCTTATATACTGGGACTATCACGGCTTTGCACCAGTCTCCCGGTACCCGCTTCAGTTCCCAGCATAAATTAAACAAGGTGTGCAGCAGGCCTGCCACCACTTCCTCTCCAGCCCTTAGCATTTCGAGTGAAACTCTATCATATCCGGCAGCCTTACCTGCTTTCATGCTTCTCATTGCTTTCATTATTTCATCTATACTTATCTCGCTACCTTCTTCCTCTTCTTTCGGAGTTCCTATTTCATTCAGTTCATACGTTGTCTCCTCACTCATAAACATGCTTTCAAAATATTCCTTCCATCTCTTTAAACTCAAAACTTCATCATTCAGAATATAGCCATTCTCATCTCTTATAGCATTCATTATAGGCTGTTTTGATTAGGAACATAACTTATTAAATTCTAATCATCACAATAATGATCACTCCTACACTACTTAATGAAACTCTAAGAGCCTCTTATATTAATCAGAATTCAAAGGTGCATTCAGACTGAGACTCTTACACGAAATTAAAAAAATATCTCCTATCATAAAATTGTGACCTGATTTGTACAATTGTATAAAAATATATACCATTAAATTTGAATCTGTGCTTGCATTGGCCTAATATTCCTATTGTAATGTAAAGTATCAATAAAAGATTCAATTAATGTGTGTTGTACTGTACTATGCACTGACAAAGATGTATTTTTATATATACAATAGTTGGTGTCTATTAATGACCATGTAACATATGAAAGACTTGACAGATATAGAGTTTATATTCCCACAATATATTTGTTTGTTGAGACAATTGTTCTTAGTGGATTAATTTAATTTTGTCGACTACAAAATTCAGTAGTAAAAAAAAATTTTTAATCCTCCTACTGTTTAGCACAGGTCTCCAAAAATTATTTAAAATATTAAAAGGCACAATTCCTATGAAAATTGGAGATTCATATTTTCATTTGAAATATTATAATTTGTTAAACATGCCGGTTTCTTCACGATATTTTTCGTGTGATAAATTAGCACCTTATTGTTACAAATACAACCACCAAAAAAACAATTTAAGAAAGTTTTACCTTCCAGGTCGGGGTACAGACATTTTCAACTGGAGCCTTTCATTCAAATACTGTACGACACCCTGCGCTTCCATGAGTAGGGGTACATGGTAAACTGAGCTCAGGTCATGAATGCAAATAACCTAGTAAGAAAAAAGTTACTTTCTGAGAACATGCTGAGAAATTAGTACAAATAATTACTTATTGTTACTAAGAGAGCCATGCTAGATTACTGCCAAAGCACTCACTGTAAAATTTATGAAACATATACAATATTAATTTAGCGAACAATCAGTATTCAATCTCTGCCAGCACCAAAATCATTATTAATTGCAATTTTATCTGCTGATTTACCACATGTTTGATGATGAAACAAAAACATTGTGTGCCTACAACCTTTTTCCCAAATTATTATATTTAAGAAAAAAAAATTGAGGACATGTGATGTTTTGTAACACGTAAGTACTATGCAAAATTGAGTTTAAAGTAAAGATCAATTCATTAAAAAAATTACAGTTCTTTTCTAATCCCTCCATGTAAATTAAAAATTCAAACCAATATTTTTTTGTTTGTGAGTGATAACAGATTGATCTTAATATAAGTAGCAAGCTCCCTCCATGATGCAATTGAATAGTATTAATTTTTTAATTAAAAATAGTTTGCCATGCCACCTTATTACTGAAATTACCATGGAACAAAATTGTAACATAATTGATATTTTAAAATAAAAATATAGCAAACATTATAAAGAGCACTAGAGAGACCAACATTAATTTGAATTAACAAATAGTGTTGTACTACTTATAATAAAGGTACATAAATCTGATTTAAGAAAGTGTGTGATTCACAAGAAATAAAAAATAATTAAATATATATATAAAGATATTAATATTAAATAAATCATAACAAAATACCTGTTCGGGTCCAACATGACAAAAGTTTGAGACCTTTTCTTTAACTGTATGACCTATTGGTTTTTCTGAACGGCACAAGATCAAGTCTGGGGATAAACCAAGGCCTCGCAATTCTCGAACTGATGACTGTGTAGGCTTAGTTTTAGGTTCACCTGTTGATTTTGGCTGAAAAAAAATCATACTAAAGTTTTTAATGTAATTCATATATCAATAAATAACAAAAACATATCACAAGGAATGGAATTCAGTTTATATATTCATTATATAATTTGTAACACAAAACATAATAGAATTATAGTAATAATAAAAAGTTCTAAAGCTTTATACAATTTGCACACAACATCAATCTTTACTCAACTCAGTCTTATGGTGAGTCTCCATCTTCTCATACAAGCTTTATATAGCAAAAAAAATTTCATTTTTCTCGTTTTTCTTCCAATCTTGCTGTACTGAATATTTACGTAGTTCCGCTAATTTTCGTTGCAAAAATAATAGCGCTGCTACCGATTTGTGAATACTTTCATTTATGGCCGTATTTGACTTCCGCACAAAATTAGGAGATGCGACGTTGCCGTTCCGTCACCGTTGCCAACATGTTACTTGTATTTAGTGATATATGGTTATGACTGCCTCGTCGGTCTAGTGGTTGTAGTAGTGCGACTGCTGATCGTGAGGTGAGGGTTCGAATCCCAGGTCGGGCCAAAAAATCAATTATTGAGTTGTTCTGTCAAGAAATTCTCAATAGCTGCCCGGAGTCAGGAAGTTGGCGGTGTATTCGCCCCGTTCCTCGGAAAGCACGTAAAGCCGTTGGTCCTGCACCTGATCTCTCACCGGTCGTGTCGGTTTACCGTCCAATCGGATTATGAGAATGAGGGAATAGAGAGTGCACCTGCGGTTGCGCATACACTTGGGCACTATAATCATGTCCTGCGCCGATGGCTAGTCTCCATTGAGGCAGGCCGCTGTGACCGTAATTCGGTCTGCAGGACATTTTTATATGGTTTATACTGCGCTTGGTACTAGTAATTTTACTTTCAAACTTGTTTTCTTAACCTTACATTTATCTACATATAATATGGACGTCCGAATATCCTAAAACTTTCATACTGACATTTGACACCCGTATTTTTGAATTTAGTTATATTTTTATAAATGTAGATGCGCCCGTCAGCTTATCGGTTTATTTCATGCTGCACTATATTTTAACGTTTTACATTTGGTACTAATCTGCCTAAAAGAACTCTTGTTAGGTATTTCGTAAGCAACCCATAATTCTGTTTGAGTATAAGTTACTTTCTGATTGAGCACAGGAAGATGGACTCAATTGTAGATATTGACAGGTTTCATAGAAGTTTGTTTTATTATATTGTGACTAATAACCTCTGACTAATAACCTAATATGGTCTGGCGGAGAAACTCACTTTAATATAAGGTTTTACTGCATTAACTGCCAATAGGTTGTTAATTTCTACAATAGACCGTGGCATATTGTTGCTGACATAACTCCGAAAATATAATTTATTTACTTGATCTTGTTGAGTTTTGGTGCTCTCACCGCATCTTAAGGATGAATGCGACTATTGTACCTAATCTGTACGAAATTACTCTCTACTTAACTAGATTCATTTTTGTGAAAGGCTGTTTTTGTTAAACTATGATAATATTACGTTTGGTTTTGCAGATAGTTGAAATAGAATTTAATTTTTCACACAGGTTTTCTAAGCTTCTAAGCGTTTTATCCTTTCCAGAACGAAACATTTTATAAAACACCAAAATGACTATTTTATACCGCATGGCCTCCCTACACTAAAATACGAATAAAACAGTAGCGAAAAATGTCATTAAAGCAATGATTATTAATGTGTGTCTAATAAACAAGGAATTAAAATATAAATATATTCATGGTTATATGGACGTCAAATATCGTGCGATATTAAACTTTACCGATAATCTGACGTCCACATATAGAAATATAACAAAATTCAAAAATATGGACGTCAAATATCATTCAGTATGAATGTTTTAGGATATTCGGCCGTCCATATTATTATGTGTACACAGGTAGTAATTTAAAGTTAAAATTAGGCACACAGTGCCCCAAAAACCGCTACAAACGGCAACATTTATCAAAAAAGAAATAAGAAAGGTTTTCTAAGCGTTTTATCGTTTTTAGAATGGAGCATTTTATGAAACACCAAAGTGACTATTACATACCGCATGGGCTCCCCACACTAAAATAAAAAAAAACAATAGCGAAAAATGTCATTAAAGTAATGACCATTAATGTGTGTCTCTTACACAAGAAATTAAAATATAAATATTTTCATGGTTATATGGACGTCAAATATCGTGCGGTATGAAACTTTACTGATAATCTGATGTCCACATATAGAAATATAACAAAATTCAAAAATATGGAGGTCAAATATCATTCAGTATGAATGTTTTAAGATATACGCACGTCCATATTATTATATGTAGCTAAATTTAAGGACACGAAAACAAATTGGAGAGTTAAATTATCTACTAGCACTGAGTACAGTATACACCGACAAAAAATACCAAAATATGCCTTGAGCACTAAATAAATAATTAAAATAAATAAATAGTAAAATGCAATAATCAACAATAACTTTGGACATTGGATATCGAAGAAGTGGACATCAAATAAAACTTAGTGTGAATATTTTAGGATATTCTTACGTCCGTATATGGGTAAATACTCCGTTCAATGTCCATGTCAAGTACATTAATCAACTTACACAAGTTTATTTACCCAAGTTACTAAATATAACCAAAGAAACTTAAATGCAAGCAAGCATAAGCGTGGAAAGTTCTCAATGTGCGTAGGTCACAATACGGATGCCAATTAGAGCACAATATGCATGTTTTTAGTAATATAGCGTCCAATATTTACAACAACAAACAAATTGTATTTCAATTAACTGCAAAACCAAACATAATATCATAATTTAACAATAATAGCCTTTCACAAAAATTAATCTAGTTAAGTAGAGAGTAATTTTGTACAGATTAGGTAAATAATTCGCACTCATCCATAAGATAGCGATCATAAAACGTAAACTCGCAGTGAGAGCACCAAAACTCAATACGAGCAAGTATGTAAATAAATTATATTTTCGGAGTTATTCATGTCAGCAACAATACGCCACAGAAATTAACAACCTGTCAATGTCTACAATTAGTACTTATTTACAATAGTAAAATAAATAATAATATAGTCAATCTATAATGTATCACGGCTGGGCAATCCTAGATATTTTTTCGTATTTAGTAAACGAATAACTAGTTGGTAAATAAATAATGATATCTATTTTTTTTTTCGCCGGAGACAAAAATGTTATTGCGTATTTTTCGTAACTACACATTCTGTGGATTTATTTCATTATTTTAAACAATATACGAAACTTAAGTGACTAAAATTAAATCTAATCTGAAACAGAATCATAAAAACTATTATTCGTGCTAAACGAATCTACCTAATAAATATCTGTTATTTTTATCTCCTGCGAAAAAAACAAACTATGGGAATCTATTGAGTACCTAGGTACATAAACAAAATATCACCTATAAATAAAATATTACAAAGCGGAATAACTAATAAGTGTGGCAACATCGCACCATACAAAGGAATTGCGTTAAGCAGGAGAATGAATTAAAAACTATGTATTTTACGGGGATTCCGGATAATTGGTAATATGGAAGGGAGTCATGATTGGTTTCCCTCCGTCTGTCAATATACGAATATTTGTATATAGACATATGGTAAATTTTCAAAGAAATGAGTTAAACACTATCCTTGAAATTATTTAATGCACCAATAATCGCTGTCATAATGTATAGAAATTGCCTACAAGTGGTGGACGCTACAATAATGTGAAATGAAAGGACGTAGGGTTAATATTGTGATGTATATATATATATATATATGCATAGAGCCCACCATTAAATACATGAATGTACATAGTTACATATGAATATAGTTCACATATGTTTTCATAATGCAATAATAAATATAGCAGAGAAGTAAGCAACCTGAGATTTATCCTGGCACCAACAACAGTAAAATTATCAATTGCAATTTGCAAGAAAATTTTGAGAATTTAAGATGACTACTAACATATTATACATATTTAACCCTTTCAGAAATATTTGTAGCGTGTTACTTTTAATACTTCTTTTACTTTTTAATTAATATATTTTCTTACCATTGGAACTAATGAGACATGAGCACAGCAGAAATTCTCCCTCTTTACTCTAAACTGGAACTGCCTAAAAGCTTCTACAAAAGACATTCCTTCTATATCCCCAATGGTTCCTCCTAATTCCACAATGCACACCTTTGGTGGTGTGTTCTCCGGTGTCACAGGAATATGTGCAACCCTTTGCACCCATTCTTGTATAGCATCCGTTATATGGGGTATAACTATTGACAAAAATATTCTGTTAGTTATTAGTTACACTAAGCAGGAAGCACAATTATATATTGATTTTAATTTTATAATTATTCTTTTCATTATTTAAGTCTCAGTTTCACATAATAATATGTTGTTTTATTATTATGTGAAACTGAGACAATGACAATAAATGCTCTTTTCTTCTCTCTTTTGAGGCTTTTAATGTATATAATCTTACCTACTTTATTTACACCATGTGTGCTTTTCATTAATGTGCTAATAATAATATTTATTACAATTCATAAAAATAAGAAATAAATATTCCTTTTCAAATTTTAATAAGCACTAAGTGCTGACACGGAATGATCATTGACCAGGCCAATGCATAAGCCACATCAAACTTAGCTTAAAACAAATCAACTATTTTGATTTGGCAGCATAACTAGGTATTCAATGTTGTTTAATAATTGTGTCAAACAGTTAAACTAATGAGTGCAAAATCAAAAACAAGATCACCATTCACCATCAGCTATTGAGAAAACGAAGCATTCATATGGCTCATGATGGAACTAGTTTAATAAACAAAGACTAGCCATCTAATCGGGGCAGGATTATAGTGCACAAAAAAAAAACAATTCCTTAACTCAAATTTTTTTTAATAGATCTTAGATTGACATGTCTCAAAACTTTCAAGAATGCTTTTTTTTAATTACATATTTGTGTATTAAAAGCCGCTAGGACATGTTTCAGAGCATAATTATAAATCAAAAATAAAATCAAAACCACCAAAAATGTTATATTGCAGACTACTAAAGCCAACGCACACTTTCAATTCTCTCACTCTCATAGTCCAATAAGAGATAGCAATCCTATTCATCTAGAGAAAGATCAGGACAGGACCTACTGAAAATTCATAACAGAAAAACCTAAAACCTAAAGATTTAAGCCCAACCTGTGACTCAAATTACAGTATTAATACTGCTTACCCTGTACTGTTTTTCCGAGATAATCTCCACGCCTTTCTCTTTCAATGACCTGCTGATAAATCTTTCCTGTGGTGATATTATTATCTCGATGCAACGTGATATCTAAAAAGCGTTCATAGTTGCCAAGATCGAGGTCTACTTCGCCACCGTCATCAAGCACGTAAACTTCACCTAGAAAATAAAAATAGAAACGCAAGGTTGATGCATTCTCTTTCGCAAACACGAGACTATGATAACATCCTTTTCTATATTAAACTAGCTTACCATGTTCGTATGGAGAGAAAGTACCAGCGTCTATATTTATATAGGGATCAATTTTTATAGAAGTAACATCAATACCGCAGCTTTTTAAAATTGTTCCGAAGGAACTTGCAATAACACCTTTTCCGACACCGCTAATGACGCCGCCAGTAACTAAAATGTACTTCATATCCGGCATTTTCACTTAAGATTAATCTTTTCGCATAATTAGTCTATTACTCTTTGAATAATAAAAATACTTTTAATCAAATTCTACAAAGTTATTTAGTATTTTCACATGTGGGCATGTAGCATGTACATGCGGTCCCTGTATTGTATATGACAATGACATGTATATGACAGATAAAGTGCTGCCAACATTAATAATATAGATCTCCAACAGTAATTAATTATTAAAACTGGCTTTACGGCTCTGGGTTCTAGCCCTTCTGAGCCTATCATTTCTTTCGGAACCTTAATTTTTATATTCTTTTTCTTCACATTATGCTGATGCGTCACATTGCGAAGCCCTTGGGAGATTTTGAAGATAGCTCAACCCAGCGGACAGTTGATGATGACAGCCACTCAAGTTCATAATGCGCCCAAGCTAATAAAATAACATGAGGTTTATATCGATATCAAAGCACCTGTTTCGTCGTTTACTCTAATAGCTCACACGCGCAGACCCTAAAATAACAAAATAATAAACAAAAAATCGCATCACTTTTACGAACCAAAATCCACTTCAAACCATTATTCAAGCGACAAAACAGGAGCGACAATCCGTCTACGGCCAAGTTCCCGCCAAAACCTAGATCTCCATCTCCATCATGGAGGTTAGAGAAAAGGAGAACGATCGCTACGTACCATGGAAAGTAACCTCCATGAACCAGGGACTTAATATCGGTAAAACACAGTTACGTTATCAGCGCAAATTCGAGGTAACGTTAAGTTTAAGAAAAACGATATATCCAAACGATATTATCCAAAGCTTTGCATGTGTATAAAGTTATAATTACGTTACAATAAATTTGTCAATTTAACGTTTCTAAAATATTGTTATCACAAATTAATAATATATTTACTGTTCTATGTTCTTACTGATTGAAAGGGTCATGAAGGAAACTGATGGAAAAATTTGGAATGTGCAAGCGGGATTTAGAAAGGGAATGGGATGTACAGATCAAGTCTTTTCCATGCGCATGATCGCAGAGAAGTTTTTGGCCAAAAACCAAAAGGTATTTTGTGCGTTCATGGACTTGGAAAAGGCCTATGACAGAGTGGATAGGGATTTGCTATGCCAAACACTGAACTCATTTGGGTTGAGCGCTGGCTTGATATAGGCATTTGGAGTCTCTTTATAGGGACTCTAGTGCTTGTGTTAGGATGAACGGGGTCTACTCGGACTGGTTTGACATCCATAAAGGTGTCAGACAGGGCTGTGTGGCTTCCCCGTGGCTGTTCAACCTATTTATGACAGTTGTTTGCAAAATTTGAAAGTTGAAGAATGCGGATTAAGAATGGGTGAGTTAACTGTCAAATGCCTTTTGTACGCCGATGATCAAGTTATTCTTGCGTCGTCGGCGGCCGAGTTGCAAATGATGGTTACATTAATGAACGGATCATTAAAAGAAAGGGGTATGAAAGTGAACGCAAGTAAGACGAAGGTTATGGTTTTTGAAAGAGAAGAAAGTAAAACGATTTGTGAAATAAGAATAGAAGGGGAGTTGATCGAGCAAGTAGATGAGTTTGTATATTTGGGCTGCGTATTTAGCAGGGATGGAACGACGAGTGAATGCGGGAAATAGAGTAAATGGGGCCTTGACACTCTATTGTGAAGAGTCAAAATGTGTCGAAAAAGGCACGTATGGCAATTTACAATGCTGTGTTGGTCCCTACTTTAACGTATGGTAGTGAAAGTTGGGTGTGGCAGAAGAAGCACGAGAGTAAAATAAACGCAGCAGAAATGCGGTCGTTAAGGAGTGTGTTAGGGCTGAATCTGAATGACAGGGTAAGAAATTGTGTAATAAGAGAAGAGTGTGGTTTGCAAGATGATGTTGTGACCAGGATTAAGAAAGGAATGCTTCGGTGGTGTGGTCATGTGGAAAGAATGAATGAGGAAAGAATGACAAAGAAAATTTATGGTGCAGAATGAATGGCAGAGTCGGAAAGGGACGTCCTAGGCGAAAATTTATCGACCAAATTGGCGATTTATTGAAAACGGGCCAAATTAGGAGTACCCTTAACCGACGAGCATGTATGCGTAGGTGTATGGATGTGAAGGAGGCAAGAGAGGTGTGTCAGGATCGTGCCAAATGGAAGTCTGTAGTCTCTGCCTACCCCTCTGGGTGACAGGCGTGAGTGTTTATGTTTATGTTTTTATGTTCCATCTATATTCCATCTTTGTTCTATATTCCATCTCTTTTACTCGTATGTTCTTTTAGTCTCTAAAGCTATAGGTTTTGTGATCGTCTGCGCAGAAATAGAATTATCTACGGAGACAGTCAGATTTTACATAAGTACATACAACTCGCAAATATCAAATATATTTCTATATTTTTTTACATGTTTCTAACGACGCGCCCTGGCTTTGCACGGGTGCAATTTTAAAAGCTTTTAATTAACTTGCAATGTATGTAACTATGTTTGTTCGGGTGGAATCTTGAAACTCAATTTTGAAGCAGATATCTTCAACCGATAAAACTGAAAATTTGTATACACGTTTAACTTGGATGATAATACATGGTTAGCTGTATGACGTCATTCAAAATCCAACATAGCGGAACACCTAAGACGGCGGACTTGTTATTTTTAATGTTCTCCCACAATACGGGTATGAAATGGGCCTTGTTGAGAAAAACTTGAAAAATAAAGTGACGCCATTCTGAATTCAAGATGGCGGCCTAAGTTTATTAATTATTTCCTACAATATGAGTATCAAATGAAAGGACTTGCTGAGAATACGAATGCGAGTTAAAAAAAATAGGGTGGTGATCATAAACCCCCGTCGACCATTTCGTTATATGCTTAGGCTCGAAACTCTTCGCAGCTGGTCAAGCATACGTGATCTTAAGTAGGGTAAAATCATTAGAAGGTCTCCTTGTTGAAAAGCTAGACTATTCGAAATTAACCGGCAAACGACGTTGTCACAATGATGAACAGACTGAGTAACCTGTCCAGCTATAACTAAAAAATAAAAAATAAAAGTATAAAAAACTTTTTAAAAACAAGCTTTTATTTAAATGCGCTTAGAAGAATAAAATAAAAATTTTCCGTTAAAACTTTTACTATCAACTTATAACGTCATTACACAATTTATATGGTGTAAAAGCTTGTCGCGAGATTCACTTGTGTAGATAAACAAGTAAATTAAATAACTTGATTCATTTTAAGTTTTAAGATTTTCAAACTAATTAAATACGAGTAGTTAAATCTCGTGGCTCCAAATTTCTTCCATAATTTCAAAACATTTTCCGACGACTTTAGAAGCGGTTCTTCTAAAAATATTTTAATTTTAAATGATACTTAAAGAGTATTGGTTATTTCACCAGTTGGATCGCTCCTTTTTACTAAAGTTAAAATGTTATGTACATGTTTTTCAATATAGCTAAAACTTAAGGAATCGACTAAGCACTGACGTGAACCTGCAGCTTGTATGTCATTTGAGGTAGATTGCATATTTTCCATTCCATGCTTGAAGAAATATTTTTATAAGATAGGGTGACAAAAAAGCACACAATCCACCTGATGGTAAGTGGTTGCTAAGGCCCATAGACATATACATCTATCCTCGATTACGAATCAAAATACAGATGCGTTGTCACCCGTGAGGACTACGATAGAATGCCTTGTTTCCAGTGAAAAAGGTCTCTGGTTCTCCACACCCACCATAGGAAACACAGCAGAATGCTGTAGCTTAATGAAGCTGCTATTTTACGCTGGTATTATGTGAGAGCGTGGTCCTTCCCCGATCGAGTCGACCCCTTTTTTTATTAGATTAAGCACCCTTCAACTTAGGAAACATTGCAATTTTCATAAAAATGCGCTTCAGTAGTTTTCAAGATATCCTTATACCTTTAAATGAGCAATTCTTGTATATAATATATATATATATATATATATATATATAAAAAAAAAATATATATATATATATATATATATATATATATATATATATCCCCGATTATATCCCCGAAACTCTGGAACGGACTGGAAAGGATACGGTAGTAACATCAATGGCGAGTACACCACTCACCTTCGATTTGCCGACGATATAGTCCTTATGACAGAATCGCTGGAGGACCTTAGCACTATGCTCAATGACCTCAATGGTGTCTCCCAACGGATAGGTCTTAAGATGAACATGGACAAAACAAAGATTATGTTCAATGTCCATGTCACACCTATGCCGGTAGTTGTGGGGAGGACTATGCTCGAAGTTGTTGACAAGTACGTTTACCTGGGACAAATAGTCCGACTAGGTAAGTCCAACTTCGACTGAGAGGTCAATCGACAGATTCAACTCGGCTGGGCAGCGTTCGGGAAATTACGACACATCTTCTCGTCAGGTATACCTCAATCTCTGAAAACTAAAGTGTACAACCAGTGCGTGTTGCCAGTGATGACTTACGGATCAGAGACGTGGTCCTTCACTGCTGGCCGTATGAGGACGCTCAAGGTCGCTCAGCGAGCTATGGAGAGGGCTATGCTCGGAGTTTCTCTGCGTGATAGACTCAGAAATGAGGATATCCGCAGTAAAAGCAGAGTGACCGACATAGCCCAACGGATTAGTAAGCTGAAGTGGCAATGGGCCGGCCATATAGCTCGAAGAACCGATAACCGATGGGGAAGAAAGGTTCTCGAGTGGCAGCCTCGTACCGGTTGGCGTAGTGTAGGGCGACCCCCCACTAGATGGAGTGACGACCTGGTAAGCCAGACATGCATTACTTGGGGGAGGCCTATGTTCAGCAGTGGACTTGTGAAGGGCTGTAATGATGATGATGATATATATATATAATCGGAATCTCGGAAACGACTCCTACAATTTTCATACAATTTAGTGTCCAGGGAGTTTCGGGGGCAATAAATCGATCTAGCTAGGATTTATTTTTAGAAAATGTCTTTTTGTACGTGTTTTCAGGTAATGAAAAACTGCTACAATATAAGAAGGTAAATTTTGACGTTCTGTTAATGATCGTA